ATGTTGAATAATAATATAATTTATAGCTTAAGAGCACATTAAATTTGTATAATTTTAATCTATTTTACGTCAGTGCTTAAAATTAATTTAATTACATAAATTGTTTGGTACAAAAAAAATTACTCATACGCCGCTTGAGCCATGGCTAAATTGATAGTCAAATCAATATTTAACGTTTTTTCAGAGCATTAAAAAATACAATAAATTTACGTTATTTTTTACACTAATTGCTTGGTAATAAATATCATACTTTACACGTGAGCCATAACCCAAATGATATAATGGTGCAGATAATGGCACGTTTACGTTTTTATTAGAGCATTAAAAGTACTTTTTTTTTTAGTTTTAATCGCATTTAGCTTCACTATAAATGTATTCCATTTTGTTATGCGCAAATCGTTTGCCAATAAATATTATTTTTTCATAAATAAAAATATAAAATGCATACGACGCGTGAGCCATGACCAAAGCGAGAAACGAATGAATGTGGATGTCGGGGTAAATGCAAAGTAAACAATTCACGCACTAAATTGAAATGCAAAGCATGTGCCACGCAGTCTGTCTGTGCGAATACTTTTATCTGCGCACTGTAACGAACGACTGTGTCATTCCCTAGACCCCTCGCCCGCCCCGCCACCCCACTGCTCAATAAATAAATTCTTGCGAATTTCTCCAGCCAAAAAATGAAAAGAAGCGAAGAAAAGCAAATGGAAACGTGGCAAGCAAAAGTGCACGAAATTTGGTCTTGAGCGAAAATAAGGAAAATAAATGGCCAGACAGGCGAACAGACAGACAAGCTGAAAGACAGATAGACAGACGGAACGACGGAACGAATGGGAGCAAAGACAAAATGCAAACGACAGGGCAGCCATTTTTATACCGATAAAGGATAAGTGTATTACAACAACAGCAACAACAACAACAGCAAGAAGAAGAAGACTTAAATGCAGACAAACCGTGAGCCGGGTATGTCCGATGCCTTTTACACTTTACGTTTGCACGCTGAACATTTTTAATGTCCATCTGCGTGCAGATTAGCATAAAAGCCGTCGTCACACTCCACTCCACTCCACTCCACTCCACTCCGCCCGAGCCAGACCGGACAATTCGCACCCGGAGCGTAGCGTCCGTGGCGACCCTCTGCCATTGAAGCGTGCCTCATTTTATGTCTGCTTAGCTTTAAGCACGCTGACATTATGCAATTTCTGAAATGGCTTGATTCCTGTTCTATATCAGGCGGGGGGGAGGGGGACTGCGGACACAGCTTACATTTTTTATAATACTCAACGAACCGAATTCAGCTAGGATTAAGCGAGGTGTACAAGTAGTTATGGAACATGAAGATATGCAACTATGTGAAGTGAGATTCTCTCTCTATTGAGCTAGGGCCATAAAGACTCACATTGTTATGTGAAAGTGAATGAGAGTTTATAGTCCATGCACACAATGGACTTAAAAAGGAGCAGACCTATAGAGCGGAATATGGTTGGACAGATTCAATCTTTATGTTGAGCAAATGTTCATAGTAATATATGTACATATCTATAAAACAAAATTTTAATATATGAAATTAATATTAAAGTGAAATTTAGAAGGCTTACTTAAGTTGCCTTTGTGGTTTGAAAGTTAATTTTTACCTCTGAAAGTAGAGTAGAAGAAATTTTAAGCGAATTTAATATAGAATTGAACTATACTTACGGTATTTTTATTTTGTTAAATTTGCAGCTTAAGCTGATTCTAAAATTGAAAGCTTGTTTCTCCAAATGTAAATGCCGCGAAACATATATACATATATACATATTATATATGTAGATATGTATCGAAATAAACTCAGTTGGTGCTTTACTTGTATAACTATACCAGCCAATAATCCTTTGTATAAAAATAAAAATATAATATTCCTGAATTAAAATATAAAAATATTCAATAAAAGTAAATTAATAATATGTTGAATATTAATTAAA